ACTTAAAGTTACCAAGGTTGAGGAACCCTGCTCTACATGGTGGGAAAACATTTTTCTTGTTATTAAATTACTTCACATTATTTTATTCATTATTGCATTCCCCACAGAAATATTCATCTGCCTCTGTTGCATTTGTAACTTCAGACCAATACCTGAGATACTATTTTATTTATGTATTATAATGGGTAGCTAGCTTATATTCTAGCATATTAATCATCGTACAAATAAACTAGTTGGTCATTGCTAGTATTTGGAATATTTCTACTAGCTGGGGCAAGTTCCTAACTGGTAAAGAATGAAGTTAGTGGGTAAGTTATTAGAGATTTTGTAGAGGGAAAGTAGAATATTTTCCCCAGAGGATGGGGGAATTGGTGAGGTGCCTCCCTTATTTTTAACATCCTTTTATTCTCTGTTTTATTTTGCTTTTTATATTTTTAATATATTTATTGACTGTTTTTAGCTTTGTTGTACACTGCCCAGAGTTGCCTGTGGTGAGATGGGTGGCTATATAAATTGCTTAAATTGCTTAAATAAATAAATAAATACTACTTATATCAATAAGAATACTATTGTGTGATTGTGCTATCTGTTTTTAGGGCCTGAGAGGAGAAAAGGGACCAAGGGGTTCACTTGGATTTCCAGGCCAACCAGGTGTACAGGTATAATTTTAACATTTTAATCTCCTATTTCAACTGACACCATGTCAGAATGTGCCTGTCTTTTATTTGTCTCCTAGTTCTCCTGCCTACCAGTTCTATAGGAATTGCAGAGATTGAGATCGGATGTTGCTTTCCTCCAATAATTCTGTTGGCAGTTTACCCCTTCTCTAGTAAATTTTACAAACAAATCTAATTATAATCTGTACAAAATTAATTGAAAATTATTTTTCTTTGCTTCTACACTTCTTTCTCTAGCAGTGTCAAAAGTAAAACTTTTTGCCTGCAATATAGACAATTAGGGAAAATTATTTTTAGTGCATATTCTGTTGGGAGGAGTTGTTTGAATATAGTAATAGTGCAACACATTAGTAGGGGAAAATATTAAGAACAATAACAGAAGGACAGAAAAGTACTTTCCTCAGCCTAATCTTTCCAAATGTGTTGGATTTAAAGCCCCAGCTAGCATGGCTTTCAATATGTGGGATTTTGAAAATTTAAATCCAACACTTATAGAGAGGACCAGGTCTGATTATATCAAATTCTTCTTCTCACAGGGTTCTCATGGTCATCCTGGCTTCCCAGGTGAACAGGTGAGAGGTTATTTTTTATGGAAACATTTGCAATGTCTGCATATTGATAATTACTTTTGAAAATACTCACTTCAATTTTTAAATAAAAAATAAAAAATTATATTTTAATATAAAAACATATGCCAATAGAGTAAAACTCTAATTTAATGGACCATGGAGGGAGGGGACATCCTTTAAATCTGAATATACATGTGATTTAAAGAATTTCAGAATTATTCCAAATAGTGTCATTTGCAGTCAACCCTTGATTTAACAAACCCTTGATTTAGCAGACATTAGTCCATTAAGTGAGGGTGGGGTCCAAATGAAAAATATTTCTATTGTACCCATGGCTCACTACACAAGATCCATTAAACTGCGAGTTCAGTGTATCGTTTAAAAGTGGATAATCAGTGTAATTTTCCTCTTTTAATATTTTAATATTTCATTAGGGGAATCCAGGAACTGGAGTGGAAGGACAAAAGGGAGAGCCGGTAAGGAAAGAAGTTGCAAATGGGAATTATGGGTTGAAATATTTAGCAAGAACAAGAAATTGTAACTTCAGATTATAATTTTTTTTTTCAGAAGTTGAGCTTTTGAAAATTTCTAGGCAAAGATTTTATTACCAATAGAAGCTAACGCATGCCTTTTCTATGGTCAAACAGAGATTTATCTTAAAAGAAGCATTAAAAATGTATTATCTTTTTGCAAAGAAGTGGTTATTTAGTCTGAGTAGAATCCTAGGTTTGTGTTCAAGTGAACCAGATCTAACTTAATCTCTATTACATCATTTGTGACATTTTAATATGTATCCAACATTCTTGGAATAGTAATTGATTGCACATGGAGTAGGAATCAGCAGTTTAAATGGCCGCAAGAAGCCAAATGCAGATTTAAACTACATCATGAGAATTTTCCAGATCACAAGAATCAATTGTTCCATTTTATTCTGCATTGGTTAGACTCCTCACTGAGTATTTTGTCCAATTATAAGTATTATACTTTAAGAATAATTAATAATTATTTAGAATTAATTAATAATTAATAAGAATAATTAATTGTCCAATTATAAGTATTATACTTTAATCCTTTAAGAAGGATTCAGAAAAAAACTGGAACAGGTTTAGAGTAGAGCAATGAGTCTATAAAGAGAGACTGAGAGGGATAGCACTCTTGAAATACCTGAAACAATGTCAGACAGGAAATGGTCAGTAATATTGCCCATCATTCTAGAGTCCAGGATAAAAATAATGGATTCAAGTTTCAAGAAGGCAGAATACAACTGGATGTTAACCAATTGTCAGAAAACTGGTTCACTCCCCATTTAATTGATATGTTCAAGTGGAAGCTAAACAGCTATAGTGTGAAAATGTTTCAATTTGGATTCCTGTTCAGAGCAAGCATTTGAATTCAGTTGCCCAAATGGCTTCTTCCAAAACTACAATTTAATGATTTTGTGGTTCTATTATTTAAAAAATGAAGTATACAGTTTTGTATCTTCAGCAAGTAGGAGAAACTTGAACTTAATAATTAGTTCATTCTCTCATAGGTAGATAAATTAATACACTGTGATTTTTAAAATATTGTATACATAGAAAAAGAGACAACATGAGAAGGAATTAGCAAAGGTGAGTGTCAGGTTCTTATCTACAGATTCAGCATCTGCAACTCATTTTTATTAGATTGTTCACTGTTTTTGCTCTTTCCATTCTTTGTAGGGTGATGTAGGACCTCCTGGATCTCCAGGACAGCCATTATTGGTTGGACCTCCTAGTTCTAGACTGTTAAAAGGAGAAAAGGTATGTACATTATAAACTACCGTTCTGATAGTGTAATGGTATGTAAGAAAGACCTTGGAAGATGGGGCAAAGAGATGCTGCCTAGGGAATGGTCAGATAAGAGCCAGCATAGCCCACAACTGGATAGTGGGGAGGGCAAGAGGCTCAGAAGGGACCCTCCCTAGTTTCTTGTGTTGTAAAGGAGATAACGGAAGAATGGTACTTTCAGACTTGCAAGATTCTGTTAAGTAGCTTTACAATAAAGTAGAATTAGCTTATCTGATTGTATTTCCTGTCTGGTCTACCTGGTAAGGCTGACAGATTGTAAGCCAATTTTGCACTTGTTTAATCACAAGATCCCAATATAAATGTATTTTAATACAGCAATAAGCATACTAATTGAAGTGAAACTCACTTTGTTATCTTGGAATATGCTATGGCAAAATGCTATGGCAATAAGCTATGGCAAAATGCAAGAGACAGGTACTTGTATTACCATATCAACATC